GAGTTCCGTGGTTCAGGTCATCAGCTCTTCTGACATCAACTACAAGAGGATTCTTTCCGGCTTTGAGAATTTTCCTTACAAAGGTCTCAAGAACAGCTGGAAACGAGTAGCTGTGTTAATCCTAGTAAGACCCCACTACAAATGTCATAGCAGAGCAGACTAAACCGTCCTGATTTAGTGGCTGCTTTCCAAGGACTAAACCATATTTTTCTCCTATGATATTTATTGACTGATCAGACCAGTCCTGTCCTTATTTAAGTTACTGGAAGTCCTCCCCTCCAACTCAGTAAAATCCAGCCAAGCCCTAGGGCTTGACAGACCAATTTGGACAGGCACTGGCATTTTAATAGCCGTGGGACTCTGACTACAGTGCCTCCGGGACCAGCCCCACCTTGAGAAGGGAGAGACTGCTCAATACACAATTCCTTCGCAGTACAGATACATAATGCTAAAAATATAGGTTAACTATAATGCTTGATTGTAGGCTAGGCTTTGTTTTAGTCTGGTATTAGTTACAAATGCTTCATATCTCATGTCACTTGGTGACATTGTTAAATAGCAGCCAAGATGGGGGGAAAAGCTACACAATTCCCCCCTATAAATTAATCTGAGAGAAATCAAAGCTTGCTTTTGTAAAACACGTCAAAAGTTAAGATCAGGTGAAGTTAAATATTTCTCAATTTATTTTCATTTTCCCCAGCCTTTGTTTCTCCTGTTAATGTTCTACAACCAACAGTTGAACAATCAACTGCCACGTTTAAACCTAGAGCCGCAACTGTTGTGGTTGTGCAATGCCACATACACAATTGTTTTCAGTGCTGTATTGTTCGAGCCCATCTTCGGCATAACCGCTCTCTTCTCGGGTTTCTTGTTCTTAAAAAATCCGAGCCAGCCTTCTAGCTGCAGTTACTTTAGCACGATGAATACAATTTACAGAAGAATGATCTGTATGGCTGCATCTTTTCAGCCACAAAAATTGAGGCTTTTTTGCTTTGAAACTCCAATGCTAAACAAGAAGACCGTTGCTAATCAAACATCTTATCTTGTTTATAACTGAGAAGCAATGAAAAATTGTGCAAAGGCCGGGGGCGGGGAGGGGAAGCCCAAAGGACCTTAAGTCTAAGGGTGAGACAAAGGACCGGCCGGACTATGGACTTCAGCGAGTTGCACTCTGTGGCGGCTGGAAACCCAATCGTGCAGGACAGGGCAGAGGCAGGGAAGCAGCAGCACTAATTCCAGTTCACCCAAGTTTTCTCCCATCCTCTCCCCCCTTGCACCGGGTAACAAGAAACACGGTAAAGTGCCAAAGGAATCAAGACTGAGCTTACCTGTGCACTTCCTTTTAAAGGTTTCATAGTCTACCCCTTGGTCTCCGGGGACGATTGTAGAGCCATTGTATTTAAAAGTCACCCTTTGGGAAGGGGAAAAAGAGAAGGGGAATGATACATTTAAAAGTCACCCTTTGGGACGGGGGAAAGGAAAGGCGAATAATATATTTCACAGTTTTTGGGAAAGGAAAAGAGGCGGTGGGGAAGGATATACTGTAAAAAAAAAAATCCATCCTTTAGGAAGAGGGGAAGAGGAGAAGGGGAATAACGTCTATAAAAGTCACCCTTTCGGGAGGGGGGAGAGGAGAAGGGGAATCGCAGCGCACCGGTGCCAGTCCGGGGGATGCCGGGGGCCACCTACCAGTTCACCTCGGTGGCATCGTCCCTGACGAGGTTGTACGCCTCCCTGCACGCCTCCTTGTCGATTTTGGTGGCCATGGGGGCGGCCGGGCGAGC